GACAGTCTCGATTTCCAACAATTTGTTCCATGTCCCACGGCGTTTTAAAAAAGTCCCAGTTTTTGGAAAGAATGCACTATAAGCTAGGGAACAGCGGGAGAATGGGAAGGGAATATATTTTCGGCTGCTGAAGAGGTTAATGTAACTTCATTTGGAAATGAAAAGGCTATTGTAAACTCCCTACTCCCCTCCTGGGCAAGGTATCAGGAGGATACTGGCTCCCTCCCTTGCTTCTAGGCAAGGACAATTAACTCAGAAGGAGCCAAACTGTCTGGAACAAACAAGTAGCGCCCCACCCCCCCCGATGTCCCACTTTTGGCAGGACAGTCCTGATATTTAACAATTTGTCCCACATCTTGCGGCATTTTAAAAAAGTCCCGATTTTTGGAAAGAATGCACGACAAGCTAGGGAACGTGGGAGAACAGGAAGGGAATATACGGTTTTCGGTTGCCATGTGGCTATTTCACCAGGATATGACTTTTGTATTATTTTTGTTAATTTTATAATGTTAAACTTTAATAATAACAAATAATTGTTGAGAACTGATTATCGAGAACTGCTTATTAAAGTTTGCATCGTTGTCAGGCCCTGCCTCCCCCCGCCCCACAACGGTGTCCCACTTTACCAATGTTAAAATCTGGTCACCTTAGCTTAGGGCCAAGAGGTTTTGTATTGCTAGAGGAAGGAGTAGTGAGTGCCCTTAGAAGTGACTCTAGTACTTGATACAATGCAAAAGAGTAAAAAATATAATGCAGTAATGGCGTGTATTCGGTAATTGTGCCAATAAAAAGGGATAAAACATAGGAAGAAAAATTTTGAAGAATTCATGTATAAAAGTAGGTGGTGCCTGTAGCTTAGTGGGTAGGGTGCCAGCCACATACATCAAGGCCGGTGGGTTCGAATCTGGCCCAGGCCAGCTAAAACAATAATGAAACTGCAACAACAATAACAACAAAAACAGCCAGCCGTTGAGGCGGGCACCTGTAGTCTCAGCTACTTGGGAGGTTGAGGCAAGAGAATCACTTAAGTCCAAAAGTTGGAGGTTGCTGTGAGCTGTGAAGCCATAGCACTCTACAGAGGGTGACATAATGAGACTCTGTCTCAAAAAAAAAAAAAAAGTAAAAATAACAGGTCAAGTATCCCTAATCCAAAAATCTGAAATCTGCAATCAGGCATCCTCAAACTACGGCCATGGGCCACATGTAGCCCACCTAGGACATTTATCTGGCCTGCCGTGTGTTTTTGCTGCTGCCTGTCCTGTTTAGCAGCCGATTCGTCTTGGGGCTGTAGTCCGGCCCTCCAATGGTCTGAGGGACAGTGAACTGGCCCCCTGTTTAAAAAGTTTGAGGAGTCCTGTCTGAAATGCTCCAAAATCCCAAACTTTTTGAGTGTCCACACGACACTCAAAAGAACTGCTCATTGGAGCACTGTGGATTTTGGATTTTTGGATTAGGGATGCTCAACTGTTAATATAGTATAATGGGAATATTCCCCAATCTGAAAATTTCTGGTCCTAAGCATTTTGGATATGGAATATTCAACCTGTACTAAGTAGGAAATGAGCTGTGAACTCCTAATAACTATCATGATCTATACAAAGACCATGCTTCTCAGGGAGAAGTATGACAACATTTCAGGGGTAAGTGAATAAAGATTAGGTATCCTGAATAAAGATTAAATAAATAACCTTACCTATTCAATCCTTTAATTTTAATTAACACATGTTTGAAAAACTGATCATACTTGGTGTGTAATAAACACCTGCTGATAAATATAACAAGAAAGCATATTTTTTTGAGTCTGATAATCACTACACTTTGACCCCAAACCTCTCTGGTGAAGGAATTATGAATAGTTACTAAAATAAGTAAATGTAAAAATGATCATAATAATTTTTCAAATTACACCATTACAAAATACTGTATTAAGCTGTACATTATAAAGACAAAGCCCAATGTATATATATGAAGAGGCATCATCAGGCCACCAAGAGGTCTGATAATGGACTTCTGAGTGTGATTTCTTTTGCTTACCCTGATTAATGCAGTTCAGGGAAAACTCTTGGACTTGACATCAGAAGTCTTAGCTAGCCTTGGCACCCACAGCTCAGTAGTTAGGGGCACCGGCCACATATACCGGGGTTGGCGGGTTTGAACCTGGCCCAGGCCTGCTAAACAACAATGACAACTACAACAACAACAAAATAGCCAGGCATTGTGGTAGGCATCTGTAGTCCCAGCTACTTGGGAGGCTGAGTCAAGAGAATTGTTTAAGCCCAAGAGTCTTTAAGTTATAGCCTTCTGCAACCTAAGCTCAGCTTTGCCACAGTCAAACGAGTTGTTCATTAATCTCAGAGATGCTACACTGTACATGGAATAATAACCCATAGTCAAGTAGTTAAACTGCAGGAAACTAAGAAACACCTATTTAATGGAAAGGTTCACTGGATTATAGATATTTGCCTTTTAGCTGGCAAATGCTAAAACATTAACAAAAGACATACTAGATGTAATTCCAGGTATTATAATTTGGTTGTTACCTGTCTACCTGTCAAGCATTGAGAGAACGGTATATTGCCAGTTGGCTGACTTCTAACATCTTTCTTAGAGACTTAATTATAACAAGTTTAAAAGACTTACTTAGTTTCTAATTGGTAATTCATGACTTTCTCAGAGACTTTGAAGATACCTCATCTAATAAAATCTTTAGATAATGTATAGACAATTCTAAATATTTATAATGGGGAAAGGGAATGACACTGGCCTAGAGCAGAGCCTTAAGTCACAGAGAGATGATCCATAAATTATATAACAGTAAAATTTTTGAAAATTCAGATACTGATGAAAAAAGAAGAGAGATTTTGGAAACTGATTTTAGAGTGCACTTGTTAAGTTGATGGCTGTAGAGATAGCTTTCAATACTAACTTGAAACCTGTAAAATAAAATTAATAAGAAATAAGTTGGTCTTCTGGATATATACCTAGTAGAGAAATTGTAGGCTCGAATGCCAGGTCTATTTTTAGATCTCTAAGTGTTCTCCATATATATGTACCAGAATGTTTATTGCAGCCCAATTTGTAATTGCTAAGTCGTGGAAGAAGCGGAAGTGCCCATCGACCCACAAATGGATCAATAAATTGTGGTATATGTACACCATGGAATATTATGCAGCTTTAAAGAAAGATGGAGACTTTACCTCTTACATGTTTACATGGATGGAGCTGGAACATGTCTTCTTAGCAAAGTATCTCAAGAATGGAAGAAAAAGTATCCAATGTACTCAGTCTTACTATGAAACCAATTTATAGCATTCTTATGAAAGCTATAACCCAATTATAGCCCAAGAAGGAGGTGAAAGGGGAGAGGGAGGGGAGGGTAGCGGGTAGGGTGGATGGAGGGAGAGTAATTGGTGGGACCATACCTATGGTACATCTTACAAGGGTACATGTGAAATTTACTATGTGTAGAACATAAATGTCTTAACACAATAACTAAGAAAATGCTGAAGACTATGTTAGCCAATTTGATGAAAACATTTCAAATTGTATGTAAAACCAGCACATTGTACCCCATGATTGCATTAATGTACAGAGCTATGATTTAATAAAAAAAAATAAGTTATATTCTTTCTTTAAAACCCATATGGTTTTAGATATGACAAACAGGTAATAAAAGACTTGTCTAAGAAATATCAAGTTCAAACTGCAAAACAGAGACAATACAAGAGTTCCTTGGTAGCTTCTTTTTTTTGAGACAGAGCCTCAAGCTATAGCCCTGTGTAGAGTCTGTGGCACCACAGCTCACAGCAACCTCAAACTCCTGGGCTTAAGTGATTCTTAACACCAGGCTATTTTTTGGTTGTAGTTGTTATTGTTTGGCAGGCCTGGATAGGATTTGAACCCGCCAGCTCTTGAGCTGTAGGTGCCACCTGATAGCTTCTTGATTAGATAACTACTCTGCAAATTTGAAATGAAGAAATACTTTTTGATATGCTAATGCACTAAAATGTATAAAGTAATATCAATTAAAAACTGCATGCAACATTTGGGTTACTTTCCTGTAACTACTGTATGTTTCTTAAAGCACATTCAATTAATATGGAGCATGAGCGTGTTAAGCTGAACAGTATGTTGCAATGTGGCTAACATTGTGGTGAAAGGAAATTCCCCTGATGGATTTCTTGTGGCTTACAGGAGGAAATCACTGGGAGCCAGTTTCAAGAGTGACATACTTGCTGATCCTTTAAATGAAAATAATGCCATATTTGTCTACATCTTTAGTAAAGAACAGAAGGTGTTTTGGTATCCAGAAATAACTTTAAGGATAACACATTAGATAGACCCTAACAGCTCAGAACATTTTTACAGAGACTGCTGCTACACATGACAGGGTCCATATAGCCAATTAAAAGGGCCCTAATAAATTCCTCTCCTGTTTTGTGAAGGTAAGTTTAAGAAATCCTGACTTAACCCAGAGGAATCCTCTAAAATCTATTTCAATCCTAGAGTGAGGTTGCTGAATATTATTCTAAAATGAGGTTTGAGGTTTTGAGGTTTTCAGTAAATCTGGTTGTTCTGATTTCTACAACCTTTACATGACAAAATTCTGTGCTCTCTTTTGCTTAACATCCCTCTTCTTTTCCAATCTTCCCAATTCTATATGCCAAAAGAACAGACATTTTAGCTACCTATTCAGACCAGCTGTACAATGCTACAAGATCATTTGATCTCCACCATATTGTGATTTCATGAGATTTTCCCTAATTGTCAGTATAGTGCTGTTGGTCACATTGTGCTTTTGCATGATTTTCAAAACAGCAGCTATGTTTAATATTGTGAAATATGGTCTGTCTCCTCCTCTCTCCATCCTCTAAAGCAATGATAAATTTCAGAGCATGCTCAGCAGAATTGGATTATATTATGCGCAGTACACATGTTCATCACCAAAACTGTACTCTCCAGAATGTATGCAAGTAGAATGAATTGCTGAGACGTCAAAATCCCAATTCCTCAGAACTGATTTTATTAGCCAATGCATACCAAACATGGGGGGTAAAGAAGTATTATTTTTGCAGTTTTCTTTCATAATTGAAGCCCTATACTATTACAGACTGTGGTTTTCCAGTCTTTTGATTAAGCTTTGCCAGCTGTGTGCCGCTGCAGCACCAAAGTAACTGCTTTGCAGCCTGTCACCTCTTCTGGCAGGCAGCCATCCTGGTCTCGGAGAGTGGGGTCAGCACCAGACTGCAGCAGCAACTCCACAATATCCAAAAACTCACAGGCAGCAGCTGAAAGGAAAATCAACAAATACAGAAACAAGTTTACCAGGAGACAGAGAAACTACTGCAGCAGGAAAGGAAGGTACAAAACAATAAGGAGTGCTGAACAGTGAGCAGTGGTACAGTGGCTGAAAGATGACCAGGTCTGTGGGCAGAACAGCATTATATTGGATTCTCCTTTCTTTCAAAAAAGAGACAAGTCTCCTGCTGTCACCCTGCCTAGAGTGCAGTAGTGTCGTCATAGCTCACAGCAACCTCAAACTCTTGGGCTCAAGTGGTCCTCCTGCTTCAGCCTCCTGAGTAGCTGAGACTAGAGGTTTGTGCCCCCATGCCTGGCTAATTTTTCTGGGGTTTTTTTGTAGGGAGAAGGTCTCACTCTTTCTTGCTCAGGCTGGTCTCTAACTCCTGGCCTCAAGCAATTCTCTTGCCTTGGCCTCCCAAAGTGATTACCAGCATGAGCCATTGCGCCTGGCCCGGATTTTCAAGTCTGAAGAAAATCATATTTATCTTGTTGGTTGCTGAGAAATATAAACAAGTATGTTTTTTAAATTGCGAGGCTTTCTGACTTGATTCTTTCAGTATAGGATGGAAGGAAAGAATAAAAAGTTACAATGTTTAAGTGTTTATTTTACTTTATTACTTCTGAATAATAGTAGGTGTATAAGTTAGATGAAAAGGCTAAAAATATTATAAATGTCAAAGAAAACATTTTGTTTTTTCTTTGAAGTGGGGGTAAGAAGGTAATTGTAATTAGCTGAACTATCAAATTTGTAAATGAAAAAAAAAATAAAGCTGGCATAGTAATTAGATCATCCCTCTAACAAGACCTTTTTAAATAAAATAATAAATGGCACCAATGGGTGTGAATGATGTGTCCAGGGCGTCGGAAGGGGGTAAAAAGGACCTTATAATAAAGATGGCATGGTATTGCCTCGAGATGGACAAACAGACCAAAGAGTAGAACAGAGTATCATCTATTCTTTTGCCTATACTTGAAAACTTGATTTATGACAAAGCCGGCAATATAGATTAGTAAGGAAACAAAGATCCATTAATTAGATGGTGCTGAGACAACTGGGCTAAAGGCAAAAACAGCCATTTCACATAAGATGAAACATAAATTGCAATCAACATACAAAAAGATCAGCAAATACATTAATAATCAGGGAAATGAAAATTAAAACCAAGAGATACCATTTCCTACCCATCAGACTGGCAAAAATCAAACACTTCCAGAATGACAAGCACTGAGTAAGACTGGAGCAAGGAAAGCATCCCCCCCGCCCCGCCACCCCTTCTGCTCCCCGCCTTTAGACTTCTGAGAGTATATACTCCTGCAGTTATTTTGGACAACAGTCTGGCATTACAAGTTAAGCTAAACATATAGGTACCTTCCAACCGGCAATTCTCCCTGGAGTTATATATTCTATAGGAACTTTTGCATACGTTCTCCAGGAGAGGTATTTGCAAGACTGTATAGTGAAACACTGTTCATAAGAGACCTCAAATGTAAATAACCCAAATGCTCATTAACAGTAACACGTAAAAATAAAATATTGTTCACTTGTGCAATAAAATGTCCTATAACACTGAAAACTAATGAATAGCTTCACACAACATGGGTTTCCCTCTGAAACAATGTTGAGGAGAAAAAAAAAACAAGTGAGAAGAATACATATGGTAAATGAAATTAAACACTATTATTCAGACATACAAATATATAGTGAAGCTATAAAGGAAATCGTTAATACAAAATCTGGGGGAGCAGTAGTCTCTTTGGGGTGCTGGGACACACACACACACACACAGACACGGGGCTTCAAAGGTACTGGCAACAACCTGTTTTTTTTTTTTTTTGAGACAGAGTCTCAAGCTGTTGCCCTACCTATGATGCCATGGCATCATCATAGTTCACAGCAAACTCCAACTCTCAGGTACAAGTGATCCTCTTGCTTTAGTTGTTTTGTATTTTTAATAGAGATAGGGTCTTGCTCTTGCTCAGGCTGGTCTTGAACTCCTGAGCTCAAGCAATCCACCCGCCTC